GAACAAAGAACTGAAAAAATCACACCAGTATTTTATGATGATAGGCATTTTGATAAGGGCGATGCACCAAATTATCCGTCTATTTATTCTATTGTTGACTGCAGTAAAATACAAAATATCGAGACAAAATGTGCAGAAGGTAAATTTTCAACCGATAATTCTAAAAAAGTTAACCTCTGCAACAATACAAATTTTTATGTTATGTTCAGTTATAATACCAGAAAAAAGTAAAATAGATGTTTCATGTTTTCGTGATGTAGAGATTATGGCAGAAAAAACGATTTCGACCGAGAGTTGGAATAAGTCAACTGATAAGATGAGAATCCGGTCTAACCCAAGCCTAAACACTAATCAAAAAAAATCACAAAACATGAAAAAAAATAAGATTTTACCCCTTTTAAAAAATGGTTCTCTACGTTCTCCTTCTGGAGAATTGAAAAGTTGTATGGTTAAAAACTTTGGGCAAATTATACTGTGTAACACGTGCGCATTCGACACTATTGCATCGATATTAATGGTAGCAAATTGCGATAGTGTTAACTACAACATTGCGATTAGTGGTAAAGAAAACGTTTTCATGAAGTTTATAAATGGAATAGTCAAAAATGGAATTTCTGCCAAAACATACTCGATCCGAGCGGAAATACTGGTATGCCTATAATATACGCATAATAAAGCAATGGTACAAATTATAAATGAAGTACCTACTTTATAAACGGAGAATCGGATCCGAACAATTGATAATATGATTGTTGTTACATTTTCCAAAAATAATTTATACAAATTTTTGTTGAGTTTTGCAAAAAAATTAACTTAAAACGTTTTTTAAAATGTTTGCGAGACGAGTATTATACTATGATTCAATTGATTACTATAATTAGAAGATTAATGTATGAGAATTTTGGTTTTATAATGTGTGACATTGTGATATCAAACAATTTATAATTTTTGATATAATATTTTCTCAATATCAATTCTATTGTGACCTCGAAAATCACAGTAGATTCTATGATATTAAATGTTGTATATTATATGATAATTTATGATACACATCAACTAAATCAACTTATATTTTTGTTAACAGATAAAATATTTACAACCAAATATAGAGTATTTAGATTATGGTATGAAATTGGCTTCATGCGAAACAACGGTGGGAAATATTATTAAAGAATTGTTAATTCTATTACCGACAATAACGGATAATATCAAATGCACAATTCCCACGTGTACGAAAAATAATCCTTTGTTTTCGTCGTACATTACAATACTTGTAATGAATGGGAATTTAAATTTGTTGGAAGAAGACATTAAAGCTAGATTAATGGTTGAAACTTCCAAATGTCAAAATCGAAATCGAAAAGGAGTGAATTGCAATGGAATTAGAACAGTTGAACCAAAAATTTCTGCAATACATTTATTTATTGAATTACTCAATTGGGAAGGTATTTTACTGTCACCCAAACATTTTCATATTATATAGTTATTTATAAAAATATAATTAAATGTAATTTTAGAGAATCCAACCAACCAAAATTTCGATTCCGAAGTGGCCGAACAAGTTTTGATAAATTTAGAAAATGTGCCTCAAATTTTAAATGTGAATAATGTCCAGTACCATTTAAGAGGAATATGTTCTCACGCGCATGAGGTAAACGGTCAAATAAACGATATAGGACATTACCGTGCCTACTGCAGAAGAAATGGTGGAAACTGGGAATTGTACGACGACCAACGACTTAAGTCCGTCCCGATAAATTCCAAAACTAAAGTTCCATGTGAACTATTAGTATATTCAATATAAATGGAACATGGTAAACTGCGGAAAAATTAACCTTTTTTTAAAAGTCGATATGTAAGCTGCGGTAAAAAAAATTATGATTATACAATCTGTGACAAAACCGATAAGATACATGATACAAACTGCAGCAATTTATTATACATACCTTTATATATACTATATATACATACCGTTACGATAACCTATATACACCTTTATCGTTTGATTAGGAATGATATGTCTTATGACAGCTATTAATCTAGAGACTCTTAGAGTATTAAGCATAAAAATAAATAAAAATCAATTTTTAAAATTGAAAAATATTATTATTAATAAAAATTATTTTAAGAGGCCTTAAATTAATTATTAATAAATACAAATTTATTGACGAACAGAGATAAATGAAAGAAGATTGACGAATTTCAAGATATGAATTTTTGAAAAAAGTATTTTAAAAAATAAACGACAAAATGTTAAGAGGACATCACACTCGCATGTGTTGTCTCTGTCTGACATACGTACAACAGCAAATTTGCGTTCAGTGATTCAAATGTAGTGAAGTTAGCTTTAATATTAGAGTAAACTGACCTGTAATCCAACTTTAAGGGAAGAACATAATCTGTTATTTGTTGGTCGGTATTTTCCGATATTTTAATTTTTAGCGTGTTATGAGTATGTAAAATATAATAATTAAAAAAACATCATAGCTCGCTAAAAAATTAAAAGATCGGGAATAACCGACCAACAAAACACAGATAATGTTCTTCCCTTAAAGTTGGATTACAGGTCAGTTTACTCTAATATTAAAGCTAACTTTCACTATATTTGAATCACTGAACGCAAATTTGCTGTTGTACATAAGTCAGACAGAGACAACACACGCGGGTGTGATGTCCTCTTAACATTAAGTCGTTTATTTTTAAATTACTTTTTTCAAAAATTCTTTCTTGAAATTCATCCATCTTCTTTCATTTGTCGCTGTTCGTTCATAAATTTTTTTTATTGCGTTTTCACTTTAATTATTTTTTTTTTTTTTTGTATTATTCCTTCTTCTGCGATTTTAATTTTTATACATGTGTCAACTTTTTTATAACTTATATTATCAAAAGTAAAGGAACCGATATTACCGATATGATTCGTTAAAACTTAAAAATATATTTGGATTTACCTTACCACTTTATACGCAAGACGCAACATTTCATAATTAATTAAATTATATACATACATAGGTATGTATGATTTAGGTACTATAATAAATAGTAATGTATCTTATCAGTTTTGTCAAGGATTGTAAAATCTTAATTTTTTTTTCTACAGTTTATGTATTGACTTTTAGAAAAAGGTTAGTTTTGCTGCAGTTTACATAGAACCATATAAATAAACTAAATAATCTATAAAATATTTTTATGTTTACAAATAAATAAATTATTTATATTTCTCATAAGTGTAATGTTCATTTTCATTTTTTTTTTTTTTTAGTTTTATTTTACATTAACAATTTATGCAACTATCATTTTTATTAAATGGAGAAATTTATCATTATTTTCTAAAAACTGCCCATATACTTCAATTTTAAACTGTCTCTTAAGTTTATTTAGAAAACATCATAGCCACGAAAATATTATAGTTCACAATTCTTATACTTGATAGTCAATCTATTTACCACCTGGTTTTAAGTGGCTAAATGTTTTTTGAATTTTCTCAAACAAAAAAAACTGTCATCGAAAAAAAAATCCTAATTTTTAATAATATCGTTGATTTTTAAGAATATTTTATGAATTATTTTTTTTTAGTAAAATTATTTTAAAAAAATAAAATGGATAGGAAACAATTTATAGTGGGTACACTAAACAATAAACTAGAGTTTTGGAATTTAATAATTTTGAATACATATCTGAATTTCAACATGAAGCCATAATAACTATGTTTATCATTAATAAATAAATAACTTACACTTTTTTTTTTATAGTTATTACATTTGTATTTTATGAAAATTAGATAACAATCCGATATTGAAACTTATTTATTTTATTATTATTAAACTATACTAAACTATAGTTTACTATACTTATGTATACTATTTTAAATTATACATAGTACAATACCAACTAATATATGTTAAATTTTTATGATACATTAAATCATTATAAACCATTTTTAATATAATGATAAAGAGTCTTTAAGGAGTAAATAACAAATGTGTAGTTTACGTAAAATTTACAAAATTATAAAATTATCAAATATTTTCATAATATAATCATTGAGTGATGTACAATTAATACAAAATGAAGTAAAAAACCAGTACTGACTTTATCAATACAAGGAAAAAAAATCTAAAACGTAAATCTAATATATTTTAAAACAAATAAAATCAATGATAATTAGGTATTAGGGAACATATTTACATGTTTTTTTTTTCTATTGCTCTTAAACAAACCTACGTTCAATTTAAACCACTTAGAATCAAATATACGTAGGAAGTCTTACATTATTTCTTTTTTTGTTATTTCAATGCTCTAAAAAACCTTTTCGGCAACTTTGTTTACTTTTATATAACATTTTTTTCAAAATGTTTTCTATATAAACTTATTTGTATGTTTAATTTTTATGCTTATTATTTTTAAATTGTCTGGATTTTCTTTTTATGTTTATGTATACTTTTTTATTATTTAAGGCTTTTATTATATTACTGCAGAATTCATCATTGGTTTGTTGTGATTTAATGTCATGTAACTCTACTTGTAGGTTCTTGTTGTTATTTTCATTTTCGTTAATAATTTTTATATTGTTTATTACATTCCTAGGTAGTGCATCCGCAACTACATTTTCTTTTCCTTTTTTATATATTATATCGAAATCAAAGTATAACAGTTTTAAAGTGAGTCTTGTATTCTAGCTGAAGGTATTTTTAGGTTGTTATAATATTGCATGCATATATTGTCACAAAAGACTGTGAATTTCCGTCCCAATAGGTATTCTCGGAAATATGTGATTCCGAAGCATAGTCCGAGCAATTCGAGTGTCGTATAAGAATATGTTTTCTCAGAATCTAACAATTTTCTAGAAGAAAATCATATCAAGCGTAAAGTATTGTTTTCATCAGCTTGTTCAAGACAAGCGCCTAGTCCCAGAATTGAAGCATCAACCGTTAAGAAGGTATATTTATCGTCATCAAAGTGTTTAAGTTGGGGTTCCGATGTTAAATGTTTTTTTAATGTGTTAAATGATATGTCATATTTTTCGAGCCATTCTATTTTATGTAATCCCTTTTTAATTAGTTCTGTGAGTGGATGTACGATTTTCGCGAAATCTTTTACGTGTTCACTATAATATGAGCACATGCCAATGAAGGATCTAACGTCTTTAATAGTTTTTGGTATTTTGAATTAAGTTATGGCTTTAGTATTTCTATCTAAGGGTCGTACACCTATAGTTGAGATTTCGTGCCCTAGTAACTCGATTTTATCGTAAAAGAATTTACATTTTTTTGTTTTAAGTGAGTAATTCATATTTTTTATAATTTCGAAAGCTTGACGTAAATTGTGTAGTGATTGATCAAAGGTTTTTCCATATGAGGCTAAATCATCGATATATATCACGAGTGATTTGTACAATAAAGGGGAAAATGCTTTATTTAGTTCTCTTTGAAATATTGCGGAACTATTTTTGTATCCTTGGGGAAGTCGAGAAAAAGTTAATAAACCCATTACAGATGTAAATGGTAATTTGTATTGGTCATCCTCTTTAACCGGAATTTGAAAGAACCCACTGTTTAAATCTAAGGAGGAGAAGTAATTTGAACTTTTTAGGGCTCTAAGCAGATCTGAGGTTCGTGGAATTGGGTATTGGTCACTTTCTACCCTATCATTCAATTCTTTATATGATACTACTAGGCGATAGGAGCCTGCGTCCTTTTTTTTTTTACTAAGAAAGCTGGTGACGCAAATTTAGATGTGATTGGTTTCACTATACCAGCTGCATATAAGCATTCTATACATGAGCTTGGCACCTGTATTAAAATCAAGTTTTACGATTGGTTTATTTGAAAATACCGCCAAATATCTATATTATTAAATAGTAATAATATTGTTATCATATTGTTATCAATTACATCTAACATTGTTATATCTAATTATGTTAAAAATATGATCAAAAAAAAGCTGGTATAATTAAAAAGATACTGGTGATGAGTGTATAGCACTTTCTACTAAGACATCACCTGGCTTACGATAGTTTAGTTGTATAGTATTTTATTTAGTATTCGGAAAAACGATTCTGAGTAAAACTCAGTGGATAGTAAATTTTTATAAAATAAAAAAATTTCGTCAAAATGCAAACTTAGCTTATGCAAACTACGCATCTTCACTTTCACATAATGATGGTTCACTTTGGAAGGCCTCTAGAAAACTTTTACGTATTCATAATCCACCCCCTACTCTACGTAACGACAATGGTACCTGGGCGCTCTCTGACCAAGACAAATCAAACATATTTATGAAACATTTAGAAAATACCTTCCAACCGCATTATAATATTTTATCACCCAGCAAAATCCAAGAAGTTGAAAAATTTCTCAACTCTCCACTACAAATGTCCCCCTCCTCCTAGAGCCTTCTCCCCTGGTGAAGTTTACTTTAATATTAAAAAGCTCCCAGGAAAAAAATCCCCCGGATTCGATCTAATAACTGCTGAAGTAATCAAAAATTTACCTAAAAAATCTATCTTATTCCTAACACAAATCTACAATGCAATGCTCAGATTATCTTATTTCCCTATTCTCTGGAAATACTCTACTATAATTCTCATATTAAAACCCAAAAAGCCCCCGGACTCCCCGGCTTCTTATAGACCAATCAGTCTTCTCCCAATACTTTCAAAGTTATTCGAAAAACTGCTATTAAAACGTATTCTACCCATTGTCGACACCGCAAACATTTTACCTAACTCTCAATTTAGCTTCCGCAATAGCCACTCCACCGTTCATCAAGTGCACAGATTGGTAGACAATATATCCTATGCCTTGG